ATTCGTATAGAAAATAGAAACAACAATCGTGCAGAAACTATTTGAGAGAAAATCTCACCTCGATTCCTGTATCAATAACTCCGCTCGATTTCGATACTGAATTAGGCATCTTGAAGTTTTTAACAAACAAACATAATTTTAAATATATTATTAATTAATTTAAGAATTATTTAAAAATTAAAATAATTATAATTATTTTCAAAATTTTCTTTTCAAATCAAAATTCTCGATATTTTTAGTTGAGAAAATGAGAGAAATGCCATTTTCTATATAAAATGTATTCTGTTATACATTATTTAATCTTTTATACTTTATTGTATAATCTTACACATACTTATGATTAAAAACGTGATATGGAAAATTCTAGTTCCTAAATAGAAAAACTGAAACTGTAATACAATTGCAATAACAATAACTGTTATACAATGATACAGCAAAATATTATTTTGGTCATTCATCAACTATGTTTTTCTGAAACTGTTATAAACTTAAATGCGGTTTTAATTAATGGTACAAAACAAAAAACGCGCAGTTTTGAAAGATGCAAAATTATAGGAAACTGAAATTGAAAACAATAGAGGAAAAAGTCATAGCCTTTTGTCATTTCTTTGAATTTCTAATTAACTTTATCAATAATTACAGCATCTTAACTACATTCATGTTCTCTTATTTATTTCATTAGTATAATGATTAAAATTTTAATGTAAAATAACAATATTATAAATTTTCTTTTATTTTTCCATTGTAACAATTCGGAATGACATGACTGATTACTATTTACTATTAGATAATTAATTTTTAAATTTATTACCATAAAATTTTTCTAGTTAGTTGCTGTGCTCAGTTCATTTTCTCCCATAGAATTCTAACTTATGTTTTCATTTTTTTTTGTTTTTCTCACAAATGGACATGAGAGTTTTAAATATGGTTTAATTTTAGTTTGTAAAAATTCTAGTACATGCAATAAATCACAACACATAATATGTATATGCAAGTAAATTATAATGAGCACAAACAAACTTTAGCGCTCATCTATTTACGGTAATGTTTTATTAGTGTTAACGTCATTATTTGCTGTATACACGTTTTTCTATTTGATCTTGAACTTAATAACCAAAATTGAAATAGTGACTTAATACTAAATAAGGGACCGTTATAGTTGAAAGGTTTTAAGATATGTAACAAATCAATTTATTTACTAAATCGAATTCCTGATATAAATAAAACCGAAGAGTGTAAATGTAGTATAAGAGTGTGGAAGAGTGTGGAACGTATTGACGAGAATGTTGGGATCGGACGTCGGAAATGAGGCAGGTGAGTCTCTTTATTACTGTTCCGTCTCCTGGAAGGACCAAAGAGTTATTGGGGTCTAGGAGGGGGGGAGGCCAGGTTGGTGGTGAGCCTCTTCACTGGGCACTGCAGGCTTGGCTATTATTTGCACAAATTGGGACAACCTAGAGATCGTTTGCGTAGATTTTTCCATGATGAAGATGAGACGGCTGAGCATATTATCTACTTTTGTGAAGCACTGGCTAGAAGGTGATTGGTTCACTTGGGAGGATATGTGGTAGCATCTTCGGACTTGTGAGACGTGTATAAGTGGCGGGATGTTACAATAAGTCTTTGAGGCTGCAGTGACGTGGTCTGTGGTTGACCCCTGCTAATTTGCAATCTAATCTAATCTAATCTAATGGAGAATTTAAAATTTTTTAGTAATTGGAAAGTTTGTTATAAACAAACTTTAATTCGAAAATATGTTAGAAACAAACTTCACTATTATTTTGGGCTTCTATAATTGGTGTTCTACTGTCCTTGCCATTCATTTCATATTAAAACTAATTAAAAATGGAAAAATCAATCATTTGAATATTCAGTACGTACATATATAGAAGCTTATTTTAACACTTGTTGAATCGAAAATGGGAAAAAAAAAATCAGTCATTATTGTGAAAATTTAAAAATAAATTTCAAATTTTTTCTGAATGAAATAAAAGAAAAACAGAACAAAAACAATATAAGAAAATGAACAAATAAATAAAAAAACTAAAAATTTATTAAAACGCTTAACAATAAATAATTCTGAGAATCTTTTTAATGATTTTTGATTGACACATAAATAATTTGTTAAAAAAAAAAAATAATGGAAACTATATAATTAATTTATTGTTAATTATTAAAATAAGAAGAAAAAAAAAATATAATAAGTTTATGTAAAATGTCATCCGCATATGTTCATTCATTAAAACATTTTAAAATTTATGGAATTTTATATTTATATGAAATGGCGGTAAAATATTACGGTAATTTAAAATCTAATTGACAAAAGTTATGTTATTTTTTGATTAAGTGACATTACGCCATTTTAAAAACACAAAATCCAATTTTAATAATTGCCTTTTAACAGAATTGAAAAGGTAATTCTCAAATTTACAAATCTATACGCGCATATAAAAATCTTTACATAATATTATGTTGCTCAACGATGCTTAACTTTTTAACCTGTCAAATTCTTTATGTAAATATTGATCCCTGTAATTTACTAGGTTATAAACAGAAGACTTGAGCGAAAAACTTCTTCACATATTGGTAATTTTGTATAATTCTCACACAGTAAAGAATGATTTACGTAAAAGAAATCGAATTTCTTTAAGGAATAGAATAATCCAACAAGGAAGAATTATTCACCACAATAACTCACATTTTCTACTTTCTTAACTAATAGAATTAAAAAAAAATACAAAAGGAAAACAGCATAAATAATCTTGCTAAAGATTTTAGTACTCGATTTCTAATGAAAAATATGAAATATATGCGAACGTGTAATGTATTTTTATATTTAAAAATTAAATTCGAAATTTAATTACGTAAGAAAAATTTTTCATATTAATTTAAAGCGGTAATCTTCTTTCATGTATACAAATCAAAGATGACATTCATCATATTCTGACATTTTTATTGTCAAATGTCATAGGAACAAATTTATTAAGTTTTTCCATAAAAAATGACAACTTCTATGTGTTATAAACTACATGTTTTAAAGTGTTACCGACTTCAATTAATTAAATTATATTAAAAATAAAATATTTAAGGTAAATAAACAAGTTGTCACCTTCCAAGACATATATATGTATGTACAAGTATAATTAATATTTTTTTGTTGTTTTTTAATAACTTATATTTGATATTAAAATTCTATTAAATTATATTCGTATAACAGATAACTTTATTGTTTATTCAAAAATTATAAAAATATGATAAAAAATAATTTTAAATTTTAATATTTTAATTACATATTTATAGATAGTACGAATGGAAAAAAATCGTGATATTTTGGTGTCTTCTTCATTTTCATTTTGTTATTCAAATATAAAATAACAAATGATTATGTAATAAATAAATTTTATTTATAAATTATCTTTTAATTTGAATTGTTTTAAAAACTTATAATTATATAATTATCATTAATTTGCAACTTCTTTATACAAATATAATGTGAAACCATTCGTGTTATAAACTACTGTCAGGGAAAAAATTTAATTTTTAATTTTAATTAATTAATTCCGTTCAAAATTACAGCATTCAATAATTATTATAGGTGTGATGGATATTTTTAAAATTTATTAAATATACAGTGCTGCCACTATGTCACAGCACTGTATATTACTGTAAATATTACTGTAAATGTGTTTGAAACAATGAAAATTCTAATATAAAAAACAAAATGAAATATTTAAGAGCGATTGTCCAATAACAACAATTTTAATTCGAAAAGATATTCAAGTTAGACGAGACTCGGCTAGGGGGAGTTAGACAGACTGCAATTAAGTATAGATGTATTTGCAATAAATTTTATTAATAAAATTTTTCAATTTAAAGACAAGGAATAATGTGCTAATAAATTTTTTCAGGCGTTAATACTCGTAAAAGTTTAAGAATTATTTTTCTAGATAAACGGCAGTTCTATAATCAATGGTTACGATTTTACAGGCAATATTTATATTCACTTTATTTAAATGTTATTAAAGGTCTAATAAATTATTCAAGGTCATATTTAATAATTAAAGAACAATTGGAGCTTTTCGGAAAATAAAGCAGTATAATAATTAGGTAATTAATAAATTAATAATTTTTAATTATTTTAATAAATTTTTCAATATTTTTACGTGTTGTGCGGTAATTTAATTTAAAATAATAAATAAAATTAAAACAAAAGAGTAGAATAATACTTTAGATTCGGTTTTGTTTATAATTTTTTAGTGTTATTGCATAAAAAGGTGTATTTAAATTTGACCCCCTTGCACTGACTAGGGTATTAAAAATTTAATTAAATATTCTCAGTGGTGTTTATTGTAAAAGTAATTTAATTTTATTTATAGTTTATTTAATTAAATTAAATATATTTTAATAAATTTTAGCTCCTTGGGCCCGATACTGTTCCTGTGTTATAGAAATAGTTCGCTGAATCTAAATACAAATTTTATATAATAAATTTACTTCTATGAAAATACATGCAGAAATAATATACGACTGAATGGAGCACCATAAACTGACATTCTATATCTGTATTCAGATAAAGAGTGTCAGAAATGCTTAGAACAAGAATTTAAAGCTGATACAAGTGACGCAAAACAAGGCTATAAAAAATATCTTCGGCTACAGCATAGGAACTTTAATTCGACATATACATAAAGACCACAATATTTTGCCTATAAACTTATTAATTAATAAATGTCTATAAATTTAGTCTGCATACCTATTTAATGGTCAACAACGATATTATCAAATTTTAAATTAACATTATAAAAAATAGGGAAGTAGACAGATATGGTATACCAAATCTGCTCAGAATATCAGAGCTGTGTCATCAAATATTTGATTCAATCGTCGTGACACAATATTTAACTTATAATGAATTTCTAAATTCAATTTAACCAGTTATAAATCATTAAATAAATAAATGGATAAAAAAATAAAAAACTGAACGCTTAACTATTATATACCTTAATATGTCTGTCAATTAACCAATTTAATTCGATGTCATCATCATCTTCTCCAAATGGATTAATAAGAACTTCGGCAACTTTAAGCCATCCAACATAGAATACGAACTGAAAATTAAAAAAAAAATAAATTAAAATTATATGTTGAGTAAATTTATTACAAAAACAAATTTTTTTTGTGGTCCTAAAAGCAAAAGTAATCCCAAATCTATAATTATTCCATGCGTACGTATTTAAAGTAACGATACATTTTGCATTCAATTAGAAAATTTAAGATTTTCAGAGTAATTCTTTAATGTCACCCCGACCTTTGTGTACGCTTGGCAGAAATATATAATCGATTACTAAATTGTATAGTACAAACGTGCTAGTACAGCGATACACAACCAATGATTGAAATCTTCTGCGTGTACTCATGGCAGTCTATAGTCTACCAAATACATATTAATGAGAATACCCTCAGATACAGAAGATATTTAATGATCAACTTAAAGTTTTAAGGTGCAATATTAAATTTTTTTAAAATAATTTATTAATTATTATAGTTAATATTAGTACCTTATTAATTCATATTAATAGGCTTACTTAATTTTATATTAAAATCACAAAAAAAAAAAAAAAATTGAATAACGTCTCGGTGTAATTGAGGTTTTTGTGGTCAAATTTCGAAATTTTATATTTTAAAAATTCGAAAATATAAATAATACAATACAAATAAACTATTGAAAATATGCCAAAATTACGATATAAAATAACTCAATTACCCGCTCACGTATAATTTAAACGCAGTATGTTCAACAAGTTTTAAAGTTCTATACGAAATTTTAAAAATTTAATGAATTCTTATTGAAAATAAGTTTGTAGATTTTAAAACTTAATTCTGTGTTTACTTCTGTGCTGACACTATTCTTAAGCAGAAAATCAAAAAGTGGAGGAGTCAGCCCTACTTTTAAAAACTGCATGACAGTGACAGCACTGCATAAATGACAATTAATTTTTAAAACTAAATATTGCTTTTAAAATTTAATTAACATAAATTAAATATTAATTAACATTGATTCCTTAATCTTCACATTATAATTATAGCTTTTCAATAGTATTTTTAAAGTATGTGAGTTTCTGATTATTGATAGCATTAATTTTCATGCTACCAATATAAGAGTAGATCTTTCAAATTTCTCAATCAAAAATTGCGAGGAGGGTGGTGGGATTTCTCCCGGTGTGTTTCGAAGCAGAATAACCGACTTCCCAGCAAACCTGGTTTACAGTTCATGTCAACTAAACCAGTCAAAAATTCCTACCAACTACCTTAGTGCTACAAATTATACAAAGATTCACCTTTCAATAACACCGCAATCTAAAAAATTCGAGTATTTATTTACCGTTTTATGTCCAATTTACCTATAAAAATTTGTTTTTGTTATTTTTTTTTTAATTTAAATTAATAAATCAATCACAATCGTCTATGCTAGCAGATACACTATGAATAAATAAATTTTTTTGTATTTAATTTGACTTTGTGGTTTAAAGAACAAAAGTACTAAGAAAAACGCGTTTTTTAGAGCATTCATATAGTTATTACAACCAAATTATATAAAAAAAAATTATATGAGAAACTAAAGAAGAGACTTATTTAACAGAAATATTGTGTAATAATTAAATAAAATTGAAAAATAATGCAAATTCTATTTAAGATATACAATAAAAGTTTTCGATGTACGAAAAAATATAAAATTACACTCTATGCAGCATATATATTATGCCTATCAAAAGAAATATTAATAACATAAAATTTTCAATCTAGCTAACGGTCTAGCAGAACTAAATTCTCCCGCTAATAGCAATTTCAGAGTCTCCACCTGAAATAATCGGCAATTTAAATGTATTTTAACAGAGAGCACGCCCACCCTCTATCTCTTGATATTCTTGAATAACTCCTAGGTATAGATCAAATATTCGCCTACGCATTTATAAACCTCCGTAATTATTTCCTCTCTTCGTGAAACAACCAAAGTATAATCCATTCACGAATTCGTTTTTAGCACCACAGATTCGAACCAAAGCGCGTATTTCACCGGTTTTTAGAAACCTTATGTCCTTATTGCATATAAATTTTTTTACGGACGTCCGGACGGGCAACCTAATACTATTTTCCCAGTTTTTCTTGAAATTCTTTAAAAAATAGATATTACTTCAATACATTATTATATTTAAATTGAAATATGAATGCAAATATATATTATTTCGTGTTGCATAACCAATTTTAAATATATTTACAACTGTTATTATTATTTGCGTAAATAAAAAATGGTTAAATCATTAAATATTCATTGTTGTATTACTTGAAACGTATTTATTGATATTATTAAATTATTCAAAGAATCCGATATTTCAAAAGAAACTTTTGACATATTTTTATTTATGAGTTTAAGTTTTATACAATATTTTTATTTACATATTTTACACGGTTTCATACATTTTGTATTATGTAAGTTCATTTTTATTAAAAATTTTATTTAGATTGTTTATTATTATAAATTGCTTGAAATTTATGACGACCAAATACATCAGATATAGTCATATGATAATTAACGTTCTGAATATGATAAAAACGTTCTGAAGAGTTCCAAAAGTTTTTAAAAATTGATCCGGTAGTTAGTCTTAATCACTGACCATTATGCCATTGGAAATCTTCGAATTTGATAACCTCTTCCCCAACGAAAAATAGGCGAATCACCCCCTTCGGGCATCGAAAAACTGCAAAGCCTAGGTTCTGATTAGTGGTCTGATGAAAATAATGCTTTAAATATTGTACAAAATACAATTTAAATTTATAGAATTTAAATTTTATACACTATATTAAAGGTGAATCTGAACGAGTAATCACTTAATGGACGAGCTATAGTAAGTATAATGGATAAGAGTATAGTAAGTATAATAAAGGGGGTCCTATAGTTCTTATGAGTGTAATCATAGTTCTGAAATTATTAAAAATCGAACATAAAATTTTTTTATGGTTATTTCTGGAAAATTAAGCAAAAAAATTAATAAATTATTTTCGACACAAAAAAAACAAGGCGACAACAAAAAATTCTCAAGTATTTAAGTATTTTTTTTTTAAATTTTGCTAAAAACTTAATTTTTTTTTAAGTATTTTTGCACAAATATTAATATTTTAATTTTTTTATGCTTCTTTCGCCCAAAATATTTACCAATAATTTACGATCAACACCAATTTAAAGTTAATCGCTTAAAAAATATTCCACTATAAAAAAGAAAATCATAAACGGTAGAAGCTTTTTAACATCAAATTTTAAGCTTTAAATTTCTTAAAAGTCACGAATTCAAACATACAATAAAAATAAGATTTTTTTTTACTTAAAATTTACATAAAATCAATTATTGTTATTTGATTTTTTTATCACGATATATAGCTGATCATTTTAGTTATAATTTAATTTAACAAAAGAAAAAATTTTAAATAACTTTGGGGTAGTGAAATTGTACAGTAGTCAAACACGTGCGGCATACTAAAGTAAGCACGCGCAAAAATTTTTAAAATAAATTCAATTAAAGAAAACATAATTAGCCGACAAATCGAAAAAAAAAATTTAGATATTTTTAAAAGCGTTCTCTTCAGGAATAATAACAACACGAACAACAAAATTCGTATGTTTTCTCATACGTAGTGAAGTAATTCCAATGCACCCTCTCAGAGAGAAGAGAGTCTCTAACCGCTTTTGTTTAAGACCGAGATTTTCAGTGGAAATTGTATTCCTTTCGGGGTATGAGAATCACTCTTTTGACAAACACAAATTATTTGCAATACATTATGGTGCAGTACGTAAGGGAAAGAGAAAGACGTCTAATATTAAGATGTCAGAGTTTAATATTAAGACAATAAGCATGTAAAGCATGTTAAGCGTGTTGTAAAATGAGCAATTAAATTTTTCCCAAATAAGTTTTTTTCTACAATTAAGTTTTGCAAAATATTTTGATAACATCATACTAACACCACTCCAAATTTGTTAATATTAAATTTTAAATTAAAATTGATTTTAACTCAATATTTTAGATTAAATTAAATTAATTCCAAATAAACAAAATTAATTTTAATAATTTATTATAATTTTTCGTTAGAAAAAAAATGTTATTTCTAGAGATTAATAATTTATCTTTAAAATCCGGTTCTTGAAATTAAACTTAAAATGAAAAAAGTATCTCCTTGCTTACGTATTTTTATAGAACACACTTTTAACAAAATATTCCCCATATACACACCGCATGTACATAAATTTGGCTTAAACTTATTTATTTTTTACTGTTAATTTGCATTTTAAATTTTCTTAACACATATTATGAAGAAAAACCAAAAGTTAAATTCTTCGGAACTGTTTAAGATCAAAGCAAATAAAACAGTATGCATAAAAAAAATATTTACATAAATATCAAAAGAAATTTTTAAATCATAATTACTATTGCATTTAAAAGAAGTGACGCTGAAATCAGAATATTTAAAATTTTAACGTAAAATGCTTTCGTTTTTGCTTGCAAAGTACCCGAAGAGGGGATAACTGAAGGAATCATTTTTATAAAGATTTCCCTGAATATATAGATGATAACAATCCGGATGGGATGGAGTTTTAAAAAATTTACACTGCGTGCCATGTGATTAACGTCTGCCAACTTATTATTTACTTGTTAAAATCAGAATTCAATAGGCTGATTTCCAGCAATGGACCCGCAATTTAATTGAATCAGCACTTAAAGTAACATTCGACGTCTTGCAAATCAACATTGTTCGAAAAATACAGAAAGTAATGCTTGATTTCCGAAATTCAATATGTCAAGTGTGTTTAAAATTTTATTTAAATCAATCGACGCTTTAACTATTTAACTATTGTGATTTAACTATTTAAACATTATTTATTCACAAATTCTGCGAAATTATTATTACGCTAAAAAAAAATTTCAACAGAATTCATTTCAAAAAAAAAAAAAAAACAATTTTAAAATCACAACTTTTAGCAACGTAATAAAAATTTCTTAAAATTTATTTACACAAGAAATGATTTCGTTTTTGTTTTTTTTATTTATTTATTCTCTGATCTTAAAAGCGAATTAAAATTTAAATACCGCAAAAAAATACTACTTTATTTTTTGTTTGATCAATGAAATAAGCAAAAAATAAAAAATTTTGCAAAAAATAAAGCAAAATGTCAAATTTTTAACAAGACACTGCGACGCGACGCGATATTTTATACGCTTTAATTCGTTCGTAAATATAGCAAAAAACAAAAACAGTCTGATTTTAAATAATTTATGAAACACGTGTATGATTCAAGAATTAAGATAATGATAAAATATATAGATAATGTAAATGATGATTAATAGAAAAGAAAATTAAGATTTTTAATTTAATTTTGATGATTTTCGCAAAATATAAGTTATATAAATTGTATTTAACGCTACTAATGAGCAAAAACTCTAAAAAGAAATTAAAAATGGCGATAAATATATATTCTCTGCCATTATAGCAATATGTATTACTAAATTTATTTTTAACGCTTGTTGTATAATAAATGCTGCCATTATTATTATAAGTTCTATCATTTCCATTATTGTAATTATAATAATGATTATATATAGTTAATAATGCCTTATTCCTTATTTTAATTACACAAATTCGCTTTTAGTTGAGTAATCAAATGAATCTTTTTTCAAATAAGTTCTGGATTCTATATTCTATTTCTACAATTAAGAGAGGTTTAAAAGGAATTTTTGATTGTAAACTCAAAATGGGGTTAAAGTATCAAGAACTTATGAGAAATTGGTTGAATAATACTAGGACACCCCAAGAGAAAAAAAATTAAACATTATTTTTAACATAATTATACTTACTTGTAATACTGTTAAAATTGGAAAATATAAATCATCAGTATCTTTATGGCCTGGCAACATTTGTCTTCCCATTAATGATGCCGTAAAATATGTATAAAGTACAAGTGTTACCACCTATAATTTTTGAAGAAAAAAAAAATATTTTAAAAATTTGCAATTCATATTTAATAATGAAATTTTAATGACCGATAATTATTTTCTCTATATTTTCTATTTATTTTTTAGTATTCCCAAAACTCTTTAATATTCATAAAATTTAATTTTTTTTTTGCAAGATATATGTATATGGTCTTTATTAAACTTATAATAGCAAAAAAATTTGAAGATATTGTCACAAAATTACACATACACATAATTAGAAAAGAGTCAATCATTTGATTTTAATACAAAAATAATCAATTAAATGTCAATTTTTTCCGTTGTCAGAATTATTTTTTAATAATAAATAAAAATATTAATATAATTCTTCAAATATTGAAAAGCTTTTCTTTCAAGCATCTTCTTTATTCTTTTTAAAATTCAAATATTGATTTACGTTTTTATACAATTAATTGAATAGGTAAAAATAATAAAATTTTTGAACTGTCACTAAGATACACAACAATATAATATTGTGACATTGACATTGTCAAAAAGTCATTATCATAAGCAAAGAGTAAATAAAAAAGTAAATAACGCAATATTGTCCATCGTCTGTAAATTTGAGTGTAAATCAAAACAGAATCGAAATACAATTTTGATAAACCGGGCTAAATTCAATAAAGCTACAATTTATTATAAATTATTCGGTCAAAACTACCACTATTGAAAAATTCTTCTTACCTGTGTATATACTAATGGTACACAAACAGTATCATAACCAATTAAACCACCTAAACGACGTCTTATATCTGACAATTCTTGTAATATTGTTTGTACTATATGATCAGATGCTATTAAATTTTCTCTACGTGCACGATTTATAATATTTGTTGCCCATACTAATGGCATCCAATATTTTGACATTGGACTTCTTGAATCCATTGCTTCAAATATTTTTCTTTCACTTTCTAACATTAAACCGGCATCAACTAAATGTTGTGGTGTTGGAAAACGTCTTTTAACACGTAATGATATTCTTTGTAATGTTATAACATATGCTAAAACCATATATCTCATAATATTTCGTCTCATTAAACGACCAGTTTCATTCTATTAAAAAAATAATTGAATAATAAGTGAGTCTAAAAATTTCTTAATCTAAAGAAGTTTGAAATTGAAAATCAACTTACATTTCCAGTATTATTTGGAATTGCTGTTGTTATAAATAATGCTAATGTATCTGGCCATGGTAATAATCTATATTGTTCCCACCATCGATTAACAACAAGACTAACATAAAAACCAAGTACAAATGATAATGGTAATGAATCTAATTGACTGCTTGAATATTTTTTTATTTTTTCAAATATTCTGAAATTAAAAAAAAAAATTAAATTAGTTTTTATTAAGAAAATTAGTAAATTAATAATTAATTTTGTAAAAATTTTCAATTTCTTAGAAATTGTGAATTCATATTTTATAAGAAAAAAAAAAATGAATTAAAAATCAATTAAAATTCTTTAATACAAAATTTGTTTGAAATGAATTTTCAAAATGGCCAACTTAAAACTAAATTTTTTTATAAATTTCAATATTATTGATTATTTAAGTATTTACCTTTGCTGAGGTTCTGTTAGTGCAAATCTATAAACTAAATTAATTGTATAATATAAACATAAATATGCTATTAATTCTCTCCATACAAGTTTATAAACACTACCGCGCCATCTGAAATCAAATAGAGAAATATAAATAAACATTAGTATTATTAGAATTAATTAATCACTTTATATTAATTTTAATTTTTTAATTTTTAATAATTTGCAAACAATTATGAATAACACTAAATTCAATTCTTACGAGTACCTTAATTTGACAATATTATATTGACAATAAAAATTGGTATAAAATTTTTTAAAATTGCCTTTCTTTGATCAATAAAGGGGCTGGTATAATGGTATCTATAAAAGATTCTAATTCATCCATAGGATAGTAAATTCTACAATATTTTATATTTACACACACAAACAGAGCCGACACATTAGATCTTTCGCAATGTCCGTAAAACATCAATGTTTTCAATATGGCCTTCAAACGCCACCAAGCGTTCAGTTACATTAAATCAAAATTTTACATAAGCTGCAAAATATTACAGCCTTTAACTCGGAAAATTTACTTTCTATTTAAATGTTTCCAATCAATCTTCAATTTAATCGTAAAACTTTTAAAATTAATAATATTATGATCTTCTTAAAATGTAATATAACATAAGATTATATTTTATTAATGATTGTACTATTTTAATAATTTTTATAATAATCTATGCTGTGAGTCACATGCCATATAAATTTTATATTCTTAAACATTGTACATATTAATTAATAATGTGGAAGCTTATGAAAAGAATGTTTTTTCCATTTATTTATTATTTTTTTTAACAGCCAATTAAACATGTTAATAATATAGTAATCATTTATGTTAGATTAAAATCACGACCTGCATGATATATTTTTTAAATTAATATAGATACTATAATTTAAATTTTTTTTTTTGTTATGATGAATAAACGAATAAAAATTCTTATCATCATTATTTGAATTTCAAGTGTTGGTATACTCAAAGTGAACTCGTCAATATTTGTATAGAACAAACAGATACGAATACATAATGTTATAATATTGAAAAATACATATGAATCACATATTACTTATGTGTAAATATTATAAACTTTTCACAATAATTAAGAAACCACTTATGGCTATAAATAAATAAAATATAATTGAGCGCCACCACTTAGTTATTTTTCGAAAATAATTAAATTAAATTACATAATAATCGATTATTAAATATTCTGGCTTGAAATAATTATTACTGGTGGCTTGAATTTTTTAGGTACATAAATATTTAAAATCAAATGGTATTTGTCTGCGCGATGAAGGGCATTTCTATTGAAATTCCAATATATTGGTAAATATCTTATTTATGTTATGATTCATAAAATTATTTATGTTACTTGATGTGGCATAACGTAATTTGACAATGTTACGTAACGTCACATTTTGACAATTTATATCAAGAATTAGTCTCATACACAAATCTGGCTTTAATAGAAAATGGAGGACCAGCTCTATCCCCATCGTTTCAGCTTCCTTTTTAGTTATTTGCTAAATTACTCTTCTAGTTTTAGAACGACGCTCAGAATCATTTAAGATTTAAAACATTAACGTTCAACATCCCTTTCTTTGTTATATATTTTGCAACTATACACATTTTTTGATAGGTATGTATATGAAGATGGAAATTCTATAATACACTTTTATATATATAGATCATAAGATTAAAAAAAAAATTAAATTAGAATTTTTTATTATTCATTCTAGATAGGAACACTAAATTTCAACCGTTTCGCACTAATTATTCGCAAAAACTAAAATTACTTCATTCAAAGCAAGAGTGGCAAAAAAAAGTAGAGAAAGTAAATTTTTTCTAATATATATAACAATATACGAGTAGTTATAATTACAACCAATTATTTTAAAAATAAAATTTTAACCTAAATTTAATTTTATTCAAGTGTCCTAAAATATGATTTTTTTTGTTCTTTACAAATTCTGTCCGATATAAAAAACAAAATCTAATGGTTTAAATGAAAATCTATTAGTCTAATTATTAATTTACATTGTAAATAGAATAAAATTTTATTTTCTAAAACACTTACAATTATTATAATTTTGCGGTCACTGATTTATGATGACTAATAACAATAGAATTATTTATAGAATCACCCTCTCAAGCCAACCTATCCCATTTTTTCAATTAAAAAATAAGCAAGAATAATATAATGCTAGACTTTTTAGATTAATATGCATAACATAGTGCAAAAAATAAAACACATAATAAATTATAACAAAAACTATGATACAAAAGCACTCACTCACTCACCTAAAAAATTAAAAATGGCAAAAAAATCGCTACACTACATTCTCATTAAAAATAAAAAATGATTTTTTGTTCTTATTTTTCATATTAAATATTTTATAAATCCAATTAAATGTCAACACATACGTAAATATAACGGTTTTTGCAAAACGATTATTATTATACGAGTACTAACTATTTAAATTTTTTTTATTGTTATTATAAAGGTAATTGTTATAAAATGTATGTACTATATTATGTATGTATATTTGTGGCATTTCATCCATACTGTTTTTAATGTTTACGAAAGCAATAAAAGTGTTATACATTTTTAATTGTAATAAATTTTATATCTTTAAATGACGCGAATTATAAAAATACACAGAGTAAATGAATCAAATAACAAAATTAAAATTAAAACAGTAAAAACCAACAAAGCTTTTTGACAACGCTTAATGGACTTGAACAATGTTGTCATTTCATATTAAAAGAAATCATTTTACTCCGATATTATTATTGATAAAATTGGAATAACAAGCCCAGACAAATTGGAATTTCATTCAATTAACATTATGTTATTATGATTTTAGCTTCTTATTTATATATATACGAGTAACTCTAATAAACATATTTCATAATTATCTTTCAAAATAATATCATAAAGAATAATGTATAACAGTTATACATTCTAAGAATTTCAACTTTTATACATACAACTTAAATAAATGGCATATATACATATTTAAGAAATTTTTCAAATATTTTACATAATAAAAAAAAAATCTGTTATACATTATAAAATTAAAATCAAAGTTAATTATTTAAATGCTATACTTGATACTATTTCAAAACTAAAAACACTGAGGCAACATCATGATTTTCATTGAGGCAACATCATGTAAAGCAGTTTACTCCTATAATATCCAAAAAAATACAATAAAATTTATTCATTGCTATCAATTGCATATATTATACGTACGTAAATATTTGTTGTATACTAAATTTTATGTATATTGACGTGATTACAATTCGTAAACATAAAACTTTAACCTAACTTAACTCTGATTTTGAAAATTAACTTAGAAATTAACAAAGATATAATGTATGTGTATACTATACAGGTAAAAGTGCGAATATTACGAGTATAACAATTATTTGTTAATGCACTTATAAAAATTATATACATAAATACATAATACTATTAGTATAATTAAAAATGTCATGAACAATTAAACAGGTATGTACATATTTAGAATTCTAAATAAGATTTTAATTTTTATTATTTTTACTCACTTTTGATATAAAAATAAATAAAATATCAAAGTTCAAAGTTTTATACATTTTGTATACCTTAAGTACTTAAATGTAAAATAAATTTTTAATTCTACATTATACTTTACTCGTTCCTTTAAATAATAATAAATGTGCTATATGAAGAGTCTGGCGCACTTTATTTACCCTAATGTCGAGAATTACCAGAACCAATGTAACAGAATTAGCTTATCCTCTCAGGGTTTAAAATAACAACAATTGTTTATTAATAAAAATTAAGCATTAAGTATAAGGAAAGAATGCAAATTGAATTTCCCTATTAATTTTCGATTAGCAATTATTATTACTACATATTAACAATAACATAACAATCAAATACCGTTACAATACAAAATCACACAATGTTAGTTATTGTTATTATTAGTATAGTTTTCAATATGATTTTGCAATTTTGTCACGATATTTTTTGATAAAAATCTTCTATCATAAATTAAAATATATAACATATTTAATACGTACATGCAATTATTTCCACTTTTATTAATTCGTATACACAATAATTTCTTGTTAATTTCTACTTTCATTAGACTGTAATGATCAAATTAAAATCATTATAAATTAATTTAAACACTAAGTATAATAAGTATACATTTTTGAATTATATTATTTTTAAATTAATAATTATTGTCAATATAAAAACAAATAATATTAAAATTCTTATCTTTACTTTTTTTTATAATTTATTTAAAATAAATCACGAGAAACGTGTTATATGCGACAACGAAATGAATGTAATATTTTATCAAAAGAATATTAAAATATATACATATATTATATTTTGTATCAAATTGTTATGGAATTCAGTAATTAAATAAGTAGTATTAAATCCCATTGGGATCAGGCTATAATGTAAACCTGTATTATGTTATAAACTTTCACAATTTAATTAAATTCCAGATGGGAATTGGTCTTAAAATGTAAATGTGTGTTTAATATTAGCACATAAATTTGCTTCCGCTTTTCCAACTGATATTTCAGTAAGTTACACACACCAGTCAACTTGTGGTTTTAAAAAGCAATCATAAAATCATTTATGTAGAACAATTTTATTAAAAGAAAACGGCATTCTAAGTCGAATTTGGTAACAGCTTTCAATGTGCATAGGTACCTATTCCGTGAACATAAATTTGAACTTAAATAACAAACTAATTATTATTATCATTTTTAAAAATTAAAGCAAAATTTTAGATTTAATTTACTGGAATCCGATATTATTTCGAATTAGCAATTTTTTGAAAATTATTTCAATGTTTTAGTTTTTTATACTTTCAACTACATTGTGATAAATTTAAATAATTCTCCGCGTTTAATTTTAAAATTTGAATAAAGGTGTGTACATATATAAAAAATAACAATTTTTGAAAATTAAAATCTAAATTTTAACCTTGTATCGATAAGATTTGTAAATGCAAGGCGTATAGCAGACCGTACTCCGTGAGTATATGTTTGGGTACTTCCTATTTCTTCACTGGCTCCAC